TTGATAAAAGAATATCTAAAAATTATGCTAATCACTAGTTGGTGTTTTATTATAGGGGTTTCCAAGATGCCTTCTATGACCTTGTGTCGTGGGCACATAACGCAATGGAGCAATCATGCAACAAACCTATTCTACCACACGCAATACTGACATTTAACAACAATCACAACCCAATTGAGTCAGAACTATACGATAGCGACTATGCCGTAGATATGTTAATGTCAGCATTTAAAAATATTCGGAATATGCCCCAATTCAAAGAATATATTAGCTACTGGGATCAAAAAGACAGACATCCAACTCGGGAAAAGCCTACTATTGACTCCGGTGAGGCCCTCTTGAAATGCTACTATGCGGACATCAAAGTTGTACACTTTCCAAACGAAAATAAACCGACAAGAATACGCACTCAAACGGATATCCTTCGTATGGCAGTGCGTCAGGCTTGTGAAAGGTCACAGGAAGGCAGAGCAAAAGTTGGGATGAAACTGAATGCTGCAACTCTACCTCTTTACGTACGGACGGCTCTAAACCAATTTGCTTCCAGTCTTGACAAACCCTTCGACTTTGGTGAAGCCTGGTTTGAACTCAACCCCATTTCATTTGAATTTGGAGATGCAATCCTCAACCTGGCCAAGCTCGTTAAAGATAATTACGAAGTCAATGGCATTGAGCTTTGGAACGAAATTGGGGGCTTCATTGCTTCATGTTTCCATCTGAACAGTTGTAGGGCGGATATTAAAAGAGGTAAGCTTGTAACCCCCACCGGTTAAACGCGACGAGGTAATGTGATTAATAATATACTATAGCTGACCTTGGAAGATTGTTGTCTAAGCATTGGGATGAATGTGAAAAGGCTGCTAGGTGCTTCTGGCACAAATTTTGGCCTTGCCAAGAAGAAGGCGGCGACGGGTATGGATCCTGCGTAAACGGCCCAGATGGCCATCGCCACCATCAATTTTACCCCAAAACAGGTACGCAAAAGGGTTACGTCACAATAGGAGGACATAGAGCAAGCCACTCCGAGCAGGCATTGCTAGAGGATCTGAAGGCCAGGATCAGCAACAAGCTGTCAGAGATAGCAACGATGACCGACCCGAGAGACAAAATGGAGCAATCTCGCTACATCGACAAAGTCTCGAAGCTTCACCAAGCAAATGTGAACGAACTGTTTAAGAAAATGAAAGACGTTGGCAAGTGTGTCAGCCATTCTACGTGCCTTTGGTGTTTAGATAAAACACCAGAGCATTCGTTACCTTGTGGCCATGTAATCTGTAGTCCATGCTTAAGAGCTGTTGCGGAACCTGTAGGAGAAGGAGGGTTTTTCCGTTTAGAGGCTTGTCCTCTACTGGCCAACCACAACGATATTTGGGCCACACCATGGATTGGAGCTTTAAAGCCAGCCCAAGCCGGGATCCGAGTTATGACTTTAGATGGGTAAGACTACGTTTCCCTTTCATTCACTATGCAAGATGAAGTTAATTTAACAATAATTCAGGGGCGGAATACGAGGCATCGTGGAGTTGGAGATTTTGATGAGGATTCAGAAATATTTGGGCGAGATTCCACTACGTGAATTCTTTGATTTAATCATCGGCACGAGGTAGGTCTTCATCTAATATATGGTATCAGGATTCGCTTCTAATGGCCTTAGCGCTGGTGGTATCATTGCATTAGGACTGGGTCCCGGGGAGATGGATGTGCACGAGTGCAATGAGAAGTTTGAAATGTTCTCTAAAGAAGCATTCTCAACACATGGGTCTACTAAACTTCCTATAATTGGGCCCCTACTAAAATACGTCTATTGGGGTTGGAGCCATGGTAAATACCAGAGTGGCCCGCTGGAGGAAGCGTTCAGGAGTGTTTTTCCTACCGACCGTATGCTATTCGGAGGTGTGAACCAGTATAAGATTGCCCCCACCAAAGTGGCCGTTACGACAACAACTCAACGAGGCCAGGTAGTAGTTTTGAGCAACTATAACCGAAAATCCCCGGCAATCCGTAAGTATCTCTTATGTACGCTTCCCTCTCTTTCACAATGCACTGCTAATAATTTTTCTAGCACTATATCATTTCCATCGACCTGGACCAGACAAGGAGCTAAGGCTGTGGCAAGCGTACGTTTTTTGTCTCTTTTATTCAATGCAGGTTTATACTTACATCAAATTCAGTGCCAGAGCAACATCTGCAGCACCACTATATTTCAGCCCCTTCTCCCATACATTATCCGAACAAGTCTACATGGATGGCGGTCTCTACCATAACAACCCTATCACAGTTGCACATTCTGAGAGTAAGGCTATATGGCCCGACTATCCGGCCGCCCATCCAGATCTGCTACTATCTATTGGGACAGGATCTGACAAGAAGGGACCAAAGGCCCCTCATTTTGTTGATTTATCTTCAGTTACAGGAGATATGGAATCACCACAAGACGAAAGGAGACCACCTTATTTTAAGGAGTTGATGAATGTCGGCGTGGACCATATCCTGAATGGCCTCAATTGCGACCAAAAGTGGCATGAATGGCTTCAAGTCAGGTCGCCTGAGGCGTATAATGCACGACGGTATCGTCGATTGACGGTGACATTCGACAATCCGGTTGAGATGGATGACACTGCTAATATACAGATATGCCGTGACATTGTCAATAGCCACATCAGCGATTCCGAAGTTCGTGTTATCGCGGACCAGTTAATAGCATCTTGCTTCTATTACAGGTTTAACCAGGGGAGTATCAAAAGAATCCGTGACGGTGGTAGAGGAAATCTCCACGAAAGGGATAGATTTGAATGCGTGGGTAAGTATTTCTAGTAACCGTGCTTGGCAAATAGTTAAGTAAATACTAATGTAACCATACAGGCACCTTTGAGTGTCGATTGTTCCCCGGCGAGGGCAGTAGCCTTTCGATGCTAGGGACCTTGCTCAAAAAGTTTCAAAAAGAAAATTTTTCGCCTCAGTTTCTCGTCAGAGAAACTCATCGCAAGTACGAATACCCCAAAAAAGCCGTAATTTTGGACCAGATCTTAGATAAGATGATTGAAAAGGGCGAGTTTAGTATGCCACATACTATCACAATCTCTAGTGAGCTTGCCGAAACTGAGATCTTGATGATCCTCCGAAAGGATGAGCAGCAACTGGACAAACTGTTCCCTATTAGCGGGTTTCCGAGGAAACTGCAACATGATCATGAAGGTAAACTCAGCAAAATACACCCTTTATATGACATAGCTAATGCCGTTTTCCTCTGAAGTCATCATTGAAGAGAAAACTTCCCTACGATTCAACTTATTGATACATATCCTATCGCTCCCAAGAGCGCTGGGAAGCAACCGACGGCTCAAAGAGTATAGGAAAAATAAGGCAAATCTTCACGAAAGTGTCTAAACCCAACACCTTCTGCTATGATAAGTAGATAGCTGCCTTATTAAAGAGTCGAGACATCACGAGGTAAAGCAAAAAGCATGGAAACAACTTCGTTGTTCCGCGAGGAACTCTGAGCTACCAATAGGAGCTTATGATTATACATACCTACCTAGGTACTGAAAGCATTTTTATTCTAAATCTCTCATTTAAAAGCTTCCCACGGGATAGTACCGATATTACTGAAATCCATTCATTGTTAAAAAGAAAAAGCCCCCAATTTTTATAGATAATATCAGGATAGGTACTTAGGTAAATTGAACTATTAACACCTGCCCTTCTATCCATCTTCGAAGGCGCTGTGTGCCTCTTATATAAGTGCCTAATCCTAGTAGATCTGCCCCTCAATATACCCCTGACCTACAACGGAGTGAGGCTACCAATTGAGAGGACTCGTGATGATCTCTTCTACATTTCTATCGTCGCTGTTGTTATCTGGGATTATGATGGATTTGTGGTGAGGTTGGTCGACGTCATCGTCGTCGTCTGGGGATGGTTTGTCTCGCCCTCGTCCGCCTCGTCCGCCTCGTCCGCTTCTTCTTCGTCAGCGCCTAGAGCTCGGGGTGCTGATTTCCGGGTGTTTTGATGGTGTTGTCTGGGCTTCTTCAATTCTAGCATTTGCTACCAAAAAGGGGGATTCGTTGATCAATTGGTGGTTGCGTTACACCCACGAGACCAAGGGCTACCAACGCCTCGGATATACCTGTTGGCAGTCTGCCGAATCCGCTTGACGAGTTACTTATTCATCGACAGCTTCTTGCTGAAGGACTCGACTTAGAATAAAATCGAATAATCAAAATATTTCTTTCCCTGAAGCAACGTTATAGGCAAGGGTAAATAGGAGGTTATACACAAATCGAAGAGCCGCCGCGAGTTCCAGGCGTCAACAATGCCTAAGGAAAAGGTATGTACACCCGATTTAATAGGTAGATTCATCTTCCATGGCAAAGTAGTACTAATACTCAATTTTCAGAGACTAGAATATATATAACCTTCAAGATTGGTAGTTCCGACAAGTCACTCAAATAGCATTCATTACACATGCATTCGTTAAAAGCCGTATTTATTGATTAGCTATTGACAAGCTTGCCGCCGCGCATACGGCGGTCTATAATTGGTGATAACCCTGGTACAAAAAAAAACCATAACTCCTCAGCCCAGCTGTTCCCAGGAATTTCTTGAAAAAAATCCTTTATCCCTTTTGCAGGATTCTCTGGGTGGTATTTACACTTTGCAAGTTCGGGTTTGGTACAGCTGATCGAAAAAATATCGCATGAACATCACATCCCTAACGACGCCTCCTGAATGCTGTTGACGCGCTAAACGCCCCGCGTCATAAGGCGGATTCCTTAATACAAGGATTGAGAACATAGGAAAGGATTGTCGGCCGAGCCGCTACTTTTCATTAGCGGTACTATTGGGTATTCGACGACCGCCTTATTTTAAGTTAGAATTTTCTCAAAAAGAGTTGTCCTCCTGTATTAACTCCGACCCCATTGTCATGATTGTATCCTAGTATTTAACACTCGGACTACGTCCTGCTAGTAGAATCCTCCTTCCGGCATCACAACCGTTACCTAGTGTTCGTAACCTGCACCTCGTTGCCACGGACTATTCCACGGTTAGTTTATATCAATTGTTAAGTTTTCAATCATGCTTACCTAGCATTGTTCTGTGCTCGATATGAGGGAGGACTGCCACTGTGCTGGTGTTGCAAGGGAGCGCTGGATCCAGCGTAGGGGCTCTGAGCCCTTGGTGGACCACCTGCAGCTGGGAATAGAGGTACCGAGGGATCTACCGGGGATTGGGGCGAGTTCGTGTTGTTACGGCCGTATGGGTTGCTTGGGGCTGATGTAGGGACGGTCAAGTTTGACGAATCCGTACGGCGGCGCAGTTCAGCAGATGATATCGATTCGTTGTCATCGTCAAGGTCTAAACCTTGCTTATAACCCGCCTTGTCACCGCGAGCGGTGGCGGCAGGGCGTCCAATTCGGTAGTACTGTGAGTTGAGATTGCGACTTCATGAACGACGTTCGGTCATCAGCCATGAACTGGTAACGACCATCGGGGTTCTTGCGATAGAAGACCAGGGTGGTCGAAACAATGACCATGATTAGGAGAATGGTGGCAAAGATAGCATTAAGGAAGAACAAAATAAGACCGATAACGCCATTGACTAGTGGAGGCTGGTTGAAGACATCCGAGAAAATTAAGAGGAAAATGGCGTTGATAAAGTTAACGCAGAAAATGGCAATGTTGAACGAATTAGTGCTCTTGTCCATCCACGGTCGGAGTACACTGGCGGTAATCAGAGCAGCAGCTTCGATCAAGAGGAATCCGATGGCCTGGGCAGTGCTGTTGCCTTGCGAGAAGGCGATGAACATGGCCTTGACTAAAGAATATCCAAGAACCGGAATAATGAAGTAATACGCGGAGGCACGGAACTGGACGTATAGGAATCCCCACTTGTTCAACGCCTGGGGATCGGAGAAGAGGATGTAGGCGGGGTTCCGGTGCATAGCCAACGAGCGGCGAGCGATTCGGATGACCTTAGAGGCAGCCCAGCCTAGAGTGGCCGTCATTCCAATAATGAAGAATACCGCTAGAACCACTTCAGCGGGCGAGTCATTCTGCGTGAACTCCCAGAGACACAAAATGGCCATCTGAGGGTAACCAATGAGGGTAAGTCGGAACAGGATACCCTTCAAGACAGTAAGCCATCCATTGCGGAACTCGAGGAAAGTGTCACCCTTCATCCACTTTTGCTTCACGGCCAATTCGCAGAGACCCTTGAACGCAGCCACGGCACCAATGGTAACGACAACGAATAGACAGAAAAACGTCAATCCAGTCATGAAAAGGTTTGTCGTCTCGATACCAGCCCTGAAAGCCACACGCTGGATACCATACACGAGGTAACTGCCAGAGCCTGTCATCACGTTACCGCGCTTCATCAGCGATGACGCGCCGCGAGGAAGGATCGCAGCCGAACGTCGGTATAAGTCAACGGCAGCATCAGGAAGGACAGAGAGAGCACGCTTCTCTACTTGCACGGAAACGGTTGTCAACGAGTCGAAAATGGTGGAAGGTGTACCGCCAGTAGCTCGCTGATACCAGGTAAAGATATCCTGCATGAAATCGACATTGATGATACCCATCGACCACTGGAAATCCTGAGTCCACGACTGGACAACGGGGGGCAGATGGATAGAGGTTAGACCAAGAATGGCCTGGGCTTGAAAGAAGCTGAACAGCGAAAGCGCGCCGGAAGCGATGTGAGCAGCAGCGTTAGAGTGACCAAGGCCGTTGATAATAGCTGAAGAACAGAGTACCAAACCAGCAATGATTGCAAGAACCCACTTAACAGCAATCAAGTTGACAGTCTTGCCGTTAGAGATATCAGCCTCAACACAGGCGACGCTCTTTTTCGTATCGACCATTCGTAAGGTAACACGGACGGTGGCGTCTAGATCGGGGAAGTTGTAGGCAATACTGGGAATCTGAGAAGCAGCTTCCTCGCCGACAGGTAAGTTGAATTTCAATGGAATCTTACCCGCAGTCATGGGGCAGAGACCAGCTAACCCGACCTTGCAAGGGTCGATAGTTGTCTCAATGATCTTGTAGCCATATGCTGAGATATCAACATCGAAATTGACTTTTCCTTCAACAGATGATGTCGCGACGATGTTTAGGAAAGCTGTGTTGTTAACTGGAGTGTAGACAACCTGGAAGAGACTGGCGGTAAATTGGGAATCTTCTTGACAATTGTTTAACGAATTCGAGGTGAGCATGGGCTCTGCTGCGATAGCGCCGGGGACAAGAGCCGCAAGCCCTGACAAGAGCGCGACCGATCTTATTGTTGACAACCACATGGTTGCTGATGTGTGACAGTATTGTATAATTCAAGTTGTCTCTGGACTCTTATGTCCTGGAGAGGTCCGGCGACGCGGTACCTGCTATGTCTGTTATGTTTTCCTTTGTCGATATTTATTCAACCACATTCGTGAGCGGGTCTAGGTGGTTATCGACAAAGAAGCTCGTTGATTGTTCTCAAACAAACGAGCGGGTCTCGAACGCAATCCAGAAGAGTAGAGGAAATCGGGATAGCGAGAGTAATTTGTTGTTTGGAGGGGGTGTTCCTACTTGGTCGGTCGCCTGTCCCGAACACTTTCTACCTATCCTCCCTACGTAAAACGAGTGGCGTTGAAAAAAGGGGGTTGGAATTGAAAAACAGCCAGGAAAGAATAACTACGACCCGTTCGCAGAATGGGCTCTTCCTGGTATTATTTTACACCAACTAGGTAGGTAGTCGATGATGTAGGAGAGAAGTAATTAGTGGAGAGTTAGTGTAGAAGAAAGAGTTGAAGCGAGTGACTGGTCCTAAAGCATGGGAGAATTGTGTGCGCCCATTTCAAGGTGGTGGATGTAAAGGACAGGAAAAGCAAGCGGTTTCGAGGTTGGCAGGGGGGGAGGATTGCCGGAATGTGGAATAAAATTGGGAGGTAACGCGTACATACACAAAGGGGGCTAGTCATTTCCGTATTGATTAATTATTCCATTATCTGAGTTACTCCTTCCTGATTTACCTACCTGTTAGTGGCATATCTTGTCACAAGAATGCGTCTACTGACATGGTACTGACATGGTACGTGCATGACAAGGTACCTACATATGTACCTAATGTGAATAGCCTGGGTTTAACGACACAAATATGTACGTATTGCGTATACTTGCTGATTACTTGCTGATGCTTGCCCAGACTGGACTAAAAGGGTGGGCGCTTGGTTCCAAGACAGAACTAAGAAATTTAAGATTTCCTATTTAGGTTTAATTCCAACTTGATTAGCCCATCAAGGCCACATGGAAACTTGCATAATAACTTGGAATTTATTCCAACCTTTTTTGTGATTTGCTTGTGAATCTTGTGAATTGATTTTTAGGAGGCAAAATCTAGGTTGCATCATCCCGCATCTGACATCACTTGAATGGTGAAGACGAGCTTGAAGAATTTAGAACAGATCCACACTAGACCACCCGGTGATCTGTGACCAGTCCTTTTGATCAACTATAATTGACCAGCGGTTATCCCCAAGTCAGAGACGAAGTTCGAAACACGGCCGGTTTTGGCGGCGCCAATGTAAGCCAACAAGGGGTAAGCGTCTCTTACATGCACTGCCACCAGACCCTCTTTTTAACTCTTAGCAACTACATACATGAGAATGCGCAACTCCTGCTAAGCATACTAAACAGCTGGGCATGTTGCTCGGCGAGGTGAATTTATTAAGTCTCGCCTTTCTTGGTAGGTAAATGGTACATAAGGTACCTAAGGAGGTAAGCAACTCATCCAAAGAAATTCATATAGATGAGATTCTAAAGATGTAAACGCGTAAAAAAGAATAGGCTAACCTAAGCTAAGCAGAACCGTTTTCTCGTACTCGCTCGCTCGTATTTAATTACCTTTTTTGAAAACTTAGGATTAATTGCATCCCCGGCCAAACCGGTCTGCCGTATTGCCGACACGAGCGCCAATGAAGTCCAATCGGGGAACTATGTGGCTAACTATCATCAATTAGTTTGTCTTGTCTCTTGTCTTGTCCTGTCTTGTCTGTTTTTTTCTCTCTTTCCCGTGTGTAAAAAGATAGGCTGTGTTGGCTGCATTGTATATGCGACCGGGCGAGCCGTGCATTGCTGATCCAGCTGATCTCATTATAGTCTCTATCAAGATCTTCCAATCCTGCGAGGTGTCGTCATCCCCTCCTTATGTCTCATAGCAACCAAACTTTCAAGACCTTATGTTGTGCGTACCCGTTGCAAACAGCAGACATGCACGCAACAAAACTAATTTATGTAAAAGTCGTTAGTTATCTAAAGTTTCTTGGGTCATCTTTTTTTGACGATAATAATTCCAAACTCCAGAAAACCGATATTTCTTGGCATCTAAGATCTTTACGGCGTGGTATACCGAATGCCCTTACTATGGAACATCGCAACCGAGTGATCCGTGCAAATTAACTGGGTTACGAATCCTCCCGCAGCAGTCATCAATGATACAGATCTCCGGGCTGCCGGTCTAGATTTCATTTAAAAAAATAATAACTCAGCCTCAAGAATTAGTAACTTCACATGTACGTAATCCGTAATCTGTACATGTGTTCATTATCGTCAATATGATTGTTGATGCACAACTTGAATTGATGCATTCACTACTAATATTGTACCACGCTTTTTTCATATATCCCTTACCTAAGGAAAGTATTTAGGCGTTATCAATATTATTGAAAATCAAGCATCTGCTATTTTTATTTATGTGTATTAGAGATATTTTGTCTAGATGGTCATTGTATTAATAGGCTAACAGATACGTATTATGAAGGCTCAACCATATTGCTATGAGCAGCTCTACTCCGGGGACTTGCTCATATCTTCCTATCGCAGGATACAGACCCTCAAGTTACGGAAATGATGCCTATTATTAGCTGCGTAGCTAATTATCAGCAGAAAAAGTTGATATTTGATCTTACTATCTATCGACTAGAATGATATAAGACAGACCTAACTGAATTATAAAAGCCTCCATTTGAAAAGAAGAGATACTAAAACTTAACAGGGAGCTGACACTTTACGATCTCCTGCTCTTCGTTGAAACCAAGGTCGAGTCCATGATCTCCATCTCGTTATCCCTTTCGCAGAAGAAATATCAATAGAGCGCTGCCTCGCATCAATAGAGAGTCTTTCGGCCTCTTCTCTCCGCTGATGGCTAAGCCACCTTAACTTGAGGACCTCCCTCCCCAGCTGTGGGAAAATTCTGTCGATATTGTCACCTGATTTGGCCGAGGTCTCGAGGAATGCGCATCCAAGCCCGAAGCTTGCTGCGAGCTTGCGGCCCTCGGCCCAGGATACCACTCGCTGTTCGTCCTCGCAGTCGGAATTGGTACCTACGAGCATGAGGCCATACGTGCGCGTCTGCCCGATCATATCGCGAATATGGGTTGTAAACGTCTTGGATGAGAGTGAAGGACGCTCTCGACTTGACATCGTATACTAGGACAACAGCTTCCGTAATCTGCACCGCTTGTGTGAGCTGATCCTCGCTAGACAGATGCCGAGATGGAAGTTCTAAGGCGTTAATGACATAGGTTTGGTCCTCAATTCTTAGGATATGGCGATAGCCTCGTTCTTGCTCGTCAAGTTCGGATGGTCGATCCTCCTCGGCGAATGTACCGGAGCAGAACTACACATCATTAGAAGACAGAAGACATGATCTTCTAGATATAATTACCCTTTCTAGAAGCGACGTCTTCCCACAACCCTTGTCTCCTAGAACAAGGAACATGAATTCCCCTGCATGCCGCTCCAGGGGAGGCAATTTATCATAGCCACAGTCATCATCCTCATCGCTCGCTACCCACGCAAGCAAGGCTCGGAAATATCGAATCTCGTCTTCGGTCCACATAGACTCGGACATTGCATTGGCAAAATTGTATACGGAAGCATAAAAAAAACAACGCCATATTTAGATGGGAAGCTCAAAGCAGCTAATTATATAAGAGGAGGCGCTCATGAATTACAATATTACGGAAAGGTATAACACAACCACGAGAATGGGTAAATTCTGTGATGCCTTGCAATAGGCCCCTTCAATTCTGTCTAATGTTACAGAGATCCCCTCCGTGTGACGGAGGAGTCGCAAAGACCGGGAAGCGAAAACGTTTAAGGTAATCGACTGCTATCTTCTCTGCATGATCCGGTATCGAAATCTTGATGAAAGCGTCACTGCCTATTATCGGGCGATGGCAGACCAATCTATTCACGGGTAATTCCCGAAGCGCATTACATGGTGCATTTCATTGCTTACTTGCGTAGCTGCACCTATCTCATTTGGATGATATATTGTTGAGCTTCTCCGCAGTAACGTCATCTTCGGGATTTTGTTTATATGATGTATAATTGTCTACTCAAAGTTCTTAGACTTGGCCGCGACGTCTCACATTTTTATCCTATACTTGCAAATGAAGCTAAGACCTCTTGTTCCTTTTTTTTTCTTTTCTTTTTTTTTTTTTCGGGCGGCTAGACTATCAGTAATGGCGTTCACACTGACCAATCTCAGCCGTTGAGCTTTACTTACTAGTCCCGCTCCTAGTCGGTGCGGCTGTGAAAGCTGGACATAAACCGGGGACTTGCTAGGATAAGGATCCATGACCATGGCCACAAGCATGTCTGACCCCAACTTCTTAGCTTCTTGATGTTTCCTCCTGTTGCCTGGGAAGCTTGGTCCACAGCTGAAGCTGGCGGCCTGTTGCTGGCTTGCCTATCTGTTTGGCTATCAACGGCTGAAAATGATTGAATACCTTTTGTTAGAGTATGGGTATTGAGGGGGAATATTTCTCGCTTCTATCTGAATGATCTCTTTCTCTTCTATCTATAGCGCGCTTCTTCTATATGCGACTACATACTAGCGGAACTTAATAGAGCTTCCTACATGTTGCAATAGTTCAGTACACCATGCTTATAATACGTATCTAATCTACTAGCCCTTCCTTTACCAAAGAATTAGACCATTAATAGTCAACTATACCTTACGAATCCACGCGGTACGACCGCAACAGGAAGCTAAGCAAACGGCACTCACAAGCGGAGAGTTAAACTAGACATACGGTGATTACAGAGTCCTCATTTGGACTTATATGAGTGTAACTTGCGGGTTTACTTACTACTGGAGGAAATATCTTGCGATCTATAGCCTAGAGATAATTACAGATCTGTATAGCGGGAACACACGACCACCGCATCGCCGCTCGTTTCATCAGTCGAAAGTAGTGTGGTGTAAACTACCTAATCTAGTAGGACTCCACCATCGCTTGAAGATAATGCGACAATAGGCATGGCCTATAATAACCATTTCCAATTTACGCCCCGGCAACCCGCACACTACCTGAACCACAAAGTCTCCGATCTGTCGGACAGTCCGTACCACGATGAGACGTCCCCTGCCGGAATTAGGGGCCGGGAGTCCCTCGTGTCACTTCAGTCTGCCTACGAATCTCCACACTTAGACGGCACGTCAGATGGAAATTCCTATGGGCCAGGACCATCTTGGTCACTGCCCTTCGTAGGATCTGGAGGTGGGAGATATCAACCAGTGGCGCCTCCCAGCCGTTCTAACTCAACTTTCGGGCGTTACAAGAGCGTCCGTGTCAGACCCCAAGATACAATTCATGAAGATGAGAGTATCGATATGTCCCTGCTCCGCGCAGCTGCGCCACTCGGACACTCTAGTCCGCACGACTCTGTCGCGGGTTATGAGCCAGCAGTCGATCTATCTTCCTTCTCCGGGCCAATGGGTCCTCAAGACCAAAATTTCGCCAAATCGTTACAAGCGAAGGAAGCTAGAGGCCACCTTACCGGGGGTATAGGGGAGGGGATGAGTCCGATAGCAACCATCAAGAGAGAACAGCTTATAGCAAGCTCGCCGTCTCTTAAAAGGAGCTTTACCAGATCTTTTTCTATGAAGAGCGTGTCTAGTTCAAGATCGAGGGCGGGATTGAAGGAGCTGGGACAGATTGAGGCCAATAGGAGGGGAGACGTGATAGAAGTTATCATGGAAGAACCTGCAGACTTGAGTACGATGGTTGGGCCTAACGTAGTTGGGTCGGATCCAAACCGTCGCCACTCGCAACTCCCAAGCAAGGAGATGAAGACCGAGGTGTTTTATCCACAGCCTAATTGGAAACCGTTCTCTATGAGGTGGCCATATAGTGAGTAAATCCCGAGTAAATATGCACCGTTCTAGCTATATGTTTCATAGGACGTAGCACCGAGTCATCGAATAATTCCTAAAAAAATATCTGGTCATTCTGGTGAAACAGACGAGAACTATCACTGACCCTAATTACAGTAACGGGTTTAATTCTCCTATCCGTCGGTCTCGCCATCGCCCAGGAGATCCTATTCCAGAGGTCTGCCGAGACTCCTCTCATCAAATTCCACAACGCCACTGATCTCGGACCTGGCTACTATTTTATCTTCAAATTTGTCCCAACAATAATTACTGTCACGTATGGCGTGCTGTGGCAGAACACAGACTTCGAAGTCAAGCGGCTCGAGGCCTTCTATCAGCTATCAAAAGAAGGGGGAGCCCTAGCAGCGGAGTCGGTCAACGTTGACTATATCACCTTGTTCAACTTCACCCGGCCGTTTCGCGCCCTGCAGCGGAGACACTATGCAGTGGCCACCTCATCTTTGGCAACTCTTCTCGCCGTATCCTTGGTCCCTACTCTTGGCGCAGCCGCATTGGTCGTGGGGCCGGACCGGCAGGTACGGCTTTCAAACCCAGACGTCGAGAAGACCATCACCATGAGCCCTATCCTATCCCGTCTTCTAACCATGACTTTCTTCGTCATCGCAGTACTGGGGTGCGTGCTATTCTACCAGCTTAATACGCGACGCTCGGGCCTACTCTCAGATGTCAAGGGGATTGCAGGACTGGCGTCGATGGCTGTCGTCAGCCATATCATGATGGATTTCAAGGACATGGACGTCGCCAAGCCAAAGGATATCCACCACAAGCTCAAGAATAGACGGTACGCCTTGCGCAACTCGTCATTGGTTCCCGAGGATTTCGAACAGGTGTCCACGCTGGAAAGCGATAGGTACAGGGACGCGCATTTACCCGAGAATCCGCACCCGCTCATGCTGCGCGCTGAGGGCTGTATACCCTTCATAATCGGGATATTGATGTTCCTGGGTTTCATACCAGTGTTTCTATTTACGCCAGCTAGCGTGCTAACAAATAAAGCACCCTGGGTCGTCACCCTGCTCGCAGTTATTATTAAACTGAGCTGGGGCAGCCTGGAGACAGCGATCCGCATGATGGAGCCGTACTACATCCTCTCGAAGCGGCACGCACCAGCCAAGACGCTGACCCTCGACTACACAGCCATGCCATTCGCAGTAGTCGCCGCGCGTGCGCTCTTCAACCGACACTGGATGGTGTTCCTGGTTGGGGGGGCACCATCATGGTAGAGGCTCTCACGATCTTCGTCACTAGTCTAGCTACTGTTGAAGGCCGGGACTTCATAGAGATACTAAGCAGAGCAGAAGACCCGACGACGAGCTAGACGACGGGTTCTTACAAAAGGGCGTCGGCTCTGGCTCGGAAACAGTGCTCTCATTCACAGTGTCCCTGGCACTAACCGTCCTAATCCTGATATACCTATTCGTCGTCGCTACGGCGATATTTATCCGCCGACGCCACCCATTCCTCCCACGGCAGCCGAGCACGATCGCCAGCGTACTCGCGTTTGTACACCAAAGTAAGATGTTGTATGATTTTGTAGGGACGGCCAAGTTTACTAATGCGCAAATGCGTGCGCGGCTCGAGAGCTTGGGTAAGACGTATGGCCTGGGTTGGTTCTCCGGCCGCGATGGATATGTGCATTGTGGTGTCGATGAAGAGGAGCTCAGTGGGAATTATAAACATGGTGTTGATTTCTCGCAGGGTAATAAACCTTGGCTTACGGATTGGCAACACTTTTAGGTTGGATGTATTTAGAACTCGTTTGAATATTAATTTTCAGCTTTACTTAGTCTTGACTTCGGAGTTGTCTTCACCCTTCTACTCCTTTCCCCTTTCCTTCTAGTAGACTAGGCATTCTACGTTAGGTATGCTTATATTGCCCCTAAAAGGGGCTCTAGTAGACGGATATAATAACAATAGTACATTTATGTCCCTTCTGATGTAGGGGGTACTTAATGTACTCGAGGGTTGCTAGGCAGCCGTCATGGTAGGTGCTGCACTAGATTTATCATACGCATTAAGAGCCCCTCTCATCACTCCTGATCCGAGACTCGCTGGTCAAATGGTCATGGCCGGTGTTCATAAGAAATGATGGCGTAGAAAAATCTCTCGGGGTTTTTCGTAGTTCTTAGGTTCGAACCTGTGTCATGGCGGCAAAAAGACCAATTTGTTCTGGTCAATTGCATAGGTTCCCTCCTAAGGACGAGCTTTTTTTTTCTCCCTCTCCATCCTTTTTATAATTATCTTATTCAGTCAAGTAATAAGATATAAATACATATTTACTTCTCGTTGCTATTATCTACTCAAGTCCTCATACCTTTTCCATTCGATTAATTATACTAGTGATAGTGTATACGACTTATTATCTGAGTCGTAATTTGATAGTTACTTCTATTTCTAGAGATGAACAAAGCACTAGATGTCTAGAAATATTGAACAAGTACTCAGATATTCTGTCACTTAAACCGGACGCATTACGAGTAGTAAAATTTAATATAGGTATATTCAATATGAATCGCCTCTCAATATCTACCACACAAGATTCTACCAATATACTCAAGTCTAGTTGTCCTTTATCCCCAAACACAGTTCCTAGACGATCACCCTCAACCACTAGCTATAACAGATTTCTTAAAAGCCCAATCCAAGTTATATAAAACCATGATATCATATCCACGAGGACGATATCCCGATACTTCGGAATGTATGACTCTATCTGTCTAATCATGTCCTTCTTCTGAACAGTTTTCGTCGTCCCAAAGAGGAACTTTTTTACTGCCTGATTGCAGTATGTTAAAGAGCCTCAAGAAAAGTTGCATGTCGTTACCGAGTCTTCGAGTAGACAGGATAACGCTTGGCTAAGATTTAAAATCGCCAGACTGACTAAATGTACGTCGTCCTGGTGGTGTCGGTGTTCTTAAAGTCGATGTTAAGTAATCGTTATTATTCCCCTACTTCCCCCAACCCTTTTCATATTCTCAAATTTCCATCATCAAATTTGGGTTGAACGCTCTGGAAAACAACGGTGTTGACCGGCTACGTTGGATGCATTCCGTACAAGTACCATTGGAATAACATTCCCTTTAGTAAATAGGGGACTAGGAGTAACTATCACATTTGGCAATTTAGGTTTATATATGTGCTCAAGAGAAGGCCATATATTAGTAAAGACGGTTTAGTTGTTATTAGATTTTACTTTGTCATTCAACATTTTAGACACCTACTAAATAGAGGCATATTATTAGCTTTATTCCTTCAACATGATAAACCTCGACCGTGGCGTATTCCAATCTTGACTAAAATAATTAATGAAAAATTAGGTAAAAATATGCAGGGACCTGGCCGAAGAACTAGCTAAATATTAAGCGAACCCTTCGCACAAGTTCTTGTTGAAATAGGTAAAAAGATGACCACCCTGGGGCTCGAACCCAGAATCTCCTGATAACTTGTCCAGCATATTTTTACTCATGCTTGGTCGTAGTCAGACGCCTTACCATTGGGCCAAGCGGCCTTCACGTGCTTTGTGAAAGCCAATTACTGATAAATCACTATATAACGGCTTGATGATACATCCATCCCACTTGGTCCGTGCACCAGGGTTTCTACATAACGGGCAGTTAGAGGCGCTGGCTTCTTTTTTTTCTCACCACACGCAATATCAGATGTGATAAGTACTTCCAAGGAATTGCACTGCCTATCTCACTGCATCCGTATTCCCCTGAACCAAATCTCGTATCTTACCAGCAAGTCCCTTTCTCCTTACATAATTTCTTGGTAGGACTAGATAGCCAGTATTACTATTCCCAAGTATAGCTCTACCAAAATCTACTACCAAAATCGCCTATTCTATGTGATGTCGAATGGACATGTTACACATAATAGCTATGTACCTCCGGGGGTTCCTTTTGCTGTTATTGGCTGATATCCATGTCGACGGCGCTATGTAGCCTTTCTGAAGCTTTGAGGGCTGATCCTGGCTGAGCGGTAGTAGTTACAAGATTAGCGATTGACTCGGATCTCACCAATCCCTTTTCGCCTCTCTTAGGTCTAAGTGTTTGGGAGGTAAGACGCAAAATTGTCGCCCAGACATTACTGATGTACCTATACTCATAGTGTAAAGCTAAAGTATGGGTGGTGGAATATGAATTGCTTAGGAAGCCTTGAGAGATATAAAACCGGGGCTGAAGTCTTTATAAGTATGTATCATACACCTAGGTATGTTTAGGGGTATATTTGTGAGTGTACTCTCTATGATAGAGGGCTCCTAATGTTTATTTCCAATGCAAATTGTAATAGTAGCTACCTGTACTTCAAATACTATAAACTTAGGATATTGTGGACTTTTGAACACGAGAAGAGCTTAGTTGTTAGCAGATAACATAGGTGATGGTTCTGTTTAGGACTTTAATAGGGGTGTAACCTTTTGGGAGGTGAGTGTTATACAGTAACTTTTTCGGCACGCAACACTACCTCTTATACAACCGCAAATCTCATTTCTAGGTGCCTATTAACAAATGTCTCAAATTTGGAAATGTATGAATACTAATAAGGGGAAATATGAGACCTAATTATAGCTCTTCGACACTGCTTGGCTATAGTAATAGTCTTAGAGGCGACAGCAAGTAGGTAGTTTTCGAATAACGTAAACAAATCGAGCGGTTTGGTTAAGTTACAGCCAAGATCTTCGAACCTATGGTCAAAGCACCGGCATTTATATGTCCTTACGCCTGCTAGCTCCTTCGTATGTATAAGCTCATAAACCTATACTGTTAGGATTCTGGAACAAATGACATGTTCAATATGTATAGACATAGACTCCCGTATGTAGTTAGTTTAGAGTTCTTTACGGAATAATGAAGTTGTTTCCATGCTATTTTATTCCATCTCGTGACATACTCCAAGGCGGTGTAGATCTATTGAGCTTGGTGCGGGATGAGATCCGTGTGGGGAAACCACGTAACCGTTACCTATGGGATTGGATAGCATCTAACAAATAAGCGGTATTACGTCTCGAGTATAAGATTAAATCGTGCGGTGTAGTCGGTTCTCAGTTTACTTCCTCTCAGTATACACTTCTGATTTTGCCAGCATACACGATACACGATGCCCGTCTCCATAGAGCAGGCCTTAGCCTGGGAGATAATGGGCAGTCTCCCTTACGAATACGCAAAGGTCTTCGCAGAAGAACGTACGAAAGACTGGGCGACGCGTCTGAAAGACTATTGGGCGAGACAGGCCAATAGATCCACAGAAAAAGGGCAAATACAGCATGTCCATGAAGGTACTCTGGAGTATTTCCGCCTCGCGCGTAGAAACACCCAACCCGAGTTCCACGGCTTCAGTGAGTAGCATCAGGAATCACTCATCCTATCAAGACTTAAAAAGAGAAATAAATACTCTCACGACTATGTATCGAAGAGATGACTCTTTTACCTTTCTCTCGTCTGGCTGACCAAATAGAATGATGCTAATGCAGAGTATTGTAGTGCATCTACCTCGTGAGATTCGTGCTATGGTCTATGAGTACCACCTACTAAAAGGGACAATATTCATGCCAAATACGACAGGTAGGGGCTACGGAGTAACCTATAATATCAAGCGTACTCGTGATGTTCATGGACGGGTATACCCGCGGTACAAGGGCCTTCCGCATACTTGGGGGATTAAGTATGGGCGAAGTATTGGCTTAATTTGCGGCGTAAGCCACGAAATTCAAGCGGAAACGATGCCAATGTTCTATGGGCGCAACCGTTTCGTCTTCCCGTCTGGTGATATCAACTTCGCCATGCTCCGCAGCCATGAGAGCCTTCCACCTTCTTGCTGGGTCTCTAATCAAATGCGCGACATAAGTCACACTTTCGACATGCGAGACGATACTTGGACCAACTTCGAACGCAGCCATGATGTACGTATGCAGCTAGGCGGAGAGGAGGACGTACACGAAGAGGAGTTTGTAGCTGCGGAAATCGACACGGAAACATATATGCGGCGATTTCACGACTCCGCAATGAACGAGTTGCTCTATTCGTGGGCCGAACGTGTAATGGATGTACGAAATATGAATTTAAATCGGCTCCATATAAGCCTTGAAGAGTGTTATTGCAGCTTGGGGTGTTGTAGATTGGTTAACACCGTTTTAGACAGACTGGTAGATGCCATTAACGCAAAGCCGAGGAATACTCGACCAAAGGTTATCGAAGTTGGTGGATGCAAAGATGAATCAGAA